ACACACCAGCAAGGGAGACGTAGTTACCCTAGCTCGAAAAATTAAGAGATTATTATCATCATCTTCACCATCATCCTCCTGAGGCTTAGCTGTAAAAGTGATTATAGCAGTTATTGTTTGTCCAGTTACTCTCTTCAGCTCCACAAATCTGTATTTCTTCACCTACATAATTATAACAATAATAAATTAAATTAAATTAATTATTCATATAGTGAACATAATAATAATAATAAACACCAAACTTTAATTGTTTTCTAGAGAGAGAGAGAGAGATCTAGAGAGAGAGAGAGAAGAAACACAATGAATAGACATACATGTGTGTCGTTGTAGACATCAATGGCTAATTGAGCAGCTTCTTTCATTTTTGGGATGATAAAAGCATTATCTGCGGTGGGAACTCCGTCGTACCAGACGCTTGGAGCACCAAACCCTCGCCGGTTCCAATTTCTATTCTTCTTCTCCGTCGTTTCTGGAATCAGCTTCTTCTCCGTTGTTTCCGTTGATTCTGGAATCATCATCATCATCTTCTCCGTTGATTCTGGAATCAGCTTCGATTTACGCTTCGGCGACGTATTGCCGAGAAACTTCCAGGCATTCCTTTGCGATTGCAATTTCGACACCTTTTTCATTCCGTCGCCAGATTCACAATAATCCCCTTTCTCTAAACCCTAGTCGTTTTGCCCTTTTCGTTCTCTTTTTTTCTTTTTTAATTTTTTTTTTTTTTTTTTGTTTAATGGGCTGGATTTTGAGAATGGGCTGGATTTTAAACATACTCAATTTCTGTTATAATACCATTATATATTAAAATACATAAATGTCATTTTGCTGCATACTGCATATTACACGACTAAGAATATCATTCTTATAATTTTAAAGATTTTTTTCTCCAACAAATGACAACTTAAACGGGGATTTTTTCGAGTTTTATAGCATTCTTTGTAATTACTATATTAATCACATGCTACTATTAAATTTAAAAATAATCCAAATATTACAATTAATACGTGAATTTACAGATAAGGCACACAAAAAAATATGTGAATTTTTTTCTATTTTAATTATCCCAAGAGTAAAACAAAATATTTTTATAGCTCACAAACTGCCCTGCTAAATTTTACTTTTCCCATGTTATTTTCATAATTTAAATTTCACAATTAATTCTTTTAATATTGTGCAATTTATTTTTAATACAATTTAGTTATGGGTGTTACTATTTGCAGCGGGACTTTTACTGAAATTGTCTTATTTGCAGCGGTACCTTTTTCATTTTAATTTTTCCAACTTTCAATTTCTCTCTCCTATTCCCAAACACTCTCTAGAAATTTGAATTTCGTAAAATTTTTCGACATTCAAACCGTACAAACAAGGCTCGATTCCGGTAAATTTTCGATTTCCTACTACTTTTAATTATTTTTATTTCCAATTTAGGTAAAAACGTGTGTTTAGGAATAGATCTAGCAAATTTCGGAAAAAAAAAAAAAATTTACGGCACCCGTGTTCTGGAGCACGGGAGCTTCAACTATTTGTTCTCTACAGCACGGGAGTTGCAAACTGTTTTGTAAATTTAAATTTTCCGAAATAAAAAAAAAAAAAATTATTTAAGTTTCCCGTCTTGAAGGACACGGGAACTTGAAGTTTTTTGAGTTTCCCGTGTTCTGGGGAACGGGAACTTGAAAATTTTGAGTTTCCCGTTCTGCAGAACACGGGAACTTGAAGAATCTTCAAGTTCCCGTGTTCAACAGAACGGGAAATTTAAACTAATTTTAATTTTATTTTATTTTTAATTATTTTATTTAATTTGTTTTTTTATCTTTTACAGATGGCACGTCAGGACAAGGGGAAAGGGCTTATGGGTTCTTCTTCGAGTTCGGATAAATTTCCGAAGATTAAATTTTGGTATGGCGGGCAAGGCGCGACGGAAGCCGAGGCGGAAGCGGAGCGCATTCGTATGACTGCATCTCATCGTCGTAGGAGAGTTATGGAGCGCGACACTGATTTACCCGTCGTGGACGAGATTCCCCACATAGATCATAGTTCTAGATCTATGACGGGTAGCATTCGATCTGTAGGGGCAGATTCTCGTATCCCCTACGAGGGACACGTGGAGGAGCATGACCATGTTGAGAGCGATTTTGATGATGTTCTCGTCCCGGCCGCGCGCTCACGGAAGTCTCGGTACGAGTTTGACACTTTCAGTGGCCCACTTGAGTTACATGGTCCGGCTCCAGGAGGACCGACTGATTGGAGGATGATTCCTAGTTTCAAGAGTCATATTGCCTACTACATTTGGGCAGGACATGTAAGTTTAAATATATTTATTTTTATATATTTTAAATATATTTATTTTAATATATTTTGTCTAATTCAATTAGAAATTCTATAGGAGCGCAGCGTGGGGCGATGTGAGTCAAGGATTACTGCGCTTAATGCTTTTAAGAAACATGAGTTGAAGCAACTCATGGCTCCTTACGGGCAGGATGAGTTAGAGCTACTGGAGGCATCTGGCCTAGACTCACTCGAGTACTTCTACATAAAAAATGTAGACAAGGGACTCATGGGGGCATTTATAGAGAGATGGCAGCCGGAAACGAACAGTTTCCACATGCCTTGGGGTGAGATGACGATCACCCTACACGATGTCCATTTAATTTTGGGGTAGCGTGTTGACGGTCTAGCGGTGCACGGTGATTCTGTTGAGGAGAGGCCTATGTGTGAGTTGTTGCTAGCTGAGGTTCTTGATTTGGACATGGTCGAAGCGCATGCCAGGCTCGGCAATAGTGGGATAAAATGGTCGGAGTTTGTGGAGCGTGTGCGCAGTCGGTCCCGAACTTGTCGGCAGAAGGTGGTAGGATATTTGACGTTTTTTATCGGTATGGCTTTGTTCCCCGACCGGAGTGTAGACAGGTTCAAGCCAACGTGGATGAGATATTCTTCCGATCTCGAGCACGTCGGCGAGTATGCTTGGGGTGCAGCTGTATTGGCTCATTTATACCGACAATTGGGCTTGGCTAGTAGGGCTCACGTGAAGGGGTTACAGGGTTGCACGTTACTGCTCCAGGTATTTAAGTAAAATTTTAATATAATATATTATACTCAATAGATTATGTTTAATAATATATTAATTGAATATAATATACTACAATTTAATATAATTTATTATTATAATTAGTATAACGTAGGTAGTTATATAATATAGCCTCAACAGTACATTAATTTAATATAATATATTGTGATTTAATATAATATTAATCTAATATAGTCTCGTTTATTTGTAGTGCTGGATTTACGAGTACTTTCACCCTTTCCGAGCACCTATTAATTCGGATTATAGGGAGATGCAGCCTCGGTTCCTGAAATGGAAACCACGCAAGGGTATTTCGGACTTGCTCTCGGTCCGAAGGATGCTTGATGATATGCAGGCCGATCAGGTATGTATTTTAATTGTTGAATTTATTTATTATTAATTATTATGAAAATGTAATTTTTATTACGTTAATCTAATTTTCCAGATTGACGGGATGCCTTACGGGCCGCACGTACATAGACGCGTTCCGCGTACATTATATTATGGGTGCATACAGTTTATGGAGATTGTCGAGCCATATTTACCGGATCGCGTCCTTCGGCAGTTTGGTTTTAGACAGACCATACCGCAGTGCTTCATCCAGTCCAGAGAGTCGTGCCTACGTGGTCCGCTTGGAGGACAGACATACCAGGTACGGTATGATCCGCCAGGGCAGGAGTGGATGGACCTGGCTATCAGCTCGATTACGTTGGACGGTAGGACATTAGCCTGGCCGCCGTCTGAGACTGCCACTCGGTACATAGAGTGGTACGTTCCTCGTACTCATCAGTACGTGATCAACCGGGATCCAGCGCCAGAAGGACCACCGCCAGTCGTACGCCCCCCTCCTATTCAGCCGGACTTTTATGACATTGTGCGTATCATCCATCCGCACATGCACGAGATACCCCAGCATCTACGTGTCCAGTTACAGCCTCGTGTGGAGCCACATGCACGTTTTCTAGGTTTATCCCCCATTGGAGTTTCCGACGACGACGACTTTATGGAGATGCCACCACCGCGTCGGCGACCGGGTGGGACGAGTGGCACTTCGAGGAGGTCTAGGGGTAGACAGTAGACGGCTTTTGTTTGACATTAAGTTGTTTTTTCTGACATTTGGCTATGTTTTGTATTTGTTTGACATTTATTTGTTTTTTCTGACATTTGGCTATGTTTTGTATTTGTTTGACATTTATGTTATTTTTGTTTGACTATTTTATTTATGTTATTTTTGTTTTGGCCACCACCGCGTCGGCGACCGGGTGGGACGAGTGGCACTTCGAGGAGGTCTAGGGGTAGACAGTAGACGGCTTTTGTTTGACATTAAGTTGTTTTTTCTGACATTTGGCTATGTTTTGTATTTGTTTGACATTTATTTGTTTTTTCTGACATTTGGCTATGTTTTGTATTTGTTTGACATTTATGTTATTTTTGTTTGACTATTTTATTTATGTTATTTTTGTTTTGGGTTTAATTTCAAATTTATTCCAACCAACATAATATAATATAATACAAGGTCCAAACATACGAACTAAAATAAAATAATACAAGGTCCAAATACATACCAACTAAAATAAAATAATACAAGGTCCAAATACATACCAACTAATATAAAATAATACAAGGTCCAAATACATACCAACTAAAATAAAATGCCTATCCCAACCTTGATAAACGACGCCACATGTATAGGGGTTCTTCGAACATTTCCGACAAGTGGGCAAGATTTGCGGCTCTAACATGTCGCCACTGTGGAGTGATAGGTGGTAGAGGACAATTAACCGGTAACTGGATAAGGACAAAATGGTTTCCTAACAACACCATATGGATCATATGGGATAATTCACCCGGACCAACTAGAGGTAAGTAGGTTATATTTCCGCCAATGGCGTATAAGACCAAAGCCGCATTGTATTTAGTCGCTATCGACATTCCCATATCCGGAAATGACATCCATTTGTCCCGACTGCACGGTCCTTCTTGTCAATCACATCTTGTAATCCATCGAATGACTTCATCTTCACCATTTTGCGATGCGTACGTACCAAATCGCTCGTACATATCGGCAATCAAATCTCTCCTTACACGACTCCATCTGTGCTGATCTCGGAACACTGCTTCTGCAACACATCTGTACCCACAATTTCCATCTGCTATAACATTAACATACGACACAATAGATCCTGCCACAAAACCTGGGATGTAAGATCTGAAATTGAGCTCATCGCCCGGTTCCTTTTGAGGCATCGGATTACTCTTCTGTTTGGCAGTAGATTCATCACTTGATCTACCACTCCCTCGACCCCGCCCTCGTCCACGACCAGAACCGGATTCGGTTACTTTCGATGGTGGGCTTCTGGTAGAAATACTTTTTCGACCCTTAGAACCGGCAGACGATTTACCATTTTCTTCATCAGTAGACGACTTCCGCGGGAATGGTGGGTACTCCCAACCGGATTTATCTCTCTTCGGTTTATCCTTTGGCCTTCCTTTTGGTATAACATATGCAGGCTCTGCCAAGTGGATGGTGTCTGGATGAATAGTGCTATTCATGTAATCAGCAGTCATCTTTTGAGTCATATAATCTTTTTCTAACACTTCCGTGGCTAGTCTGATTATTCGGTCTCTCATATTTGTTTCACGATCCATCTGTGCTTCAGGTATTTCTGGTTCTTCAACGTGCATGGTACTCCAAAATGGATGTAGATCCATACATATAAATGTATCACGTTGCTGGATTTTCAACGCAATTCGTCATGTACAAGGAAGTGCATGACTATCCCACAAAACGTGATCACAAAGAGATGGGTCTTGAAACCCCGAATTTTTTATCTCATCATCAAGCAAATTTAATGCTTTATGTGTGACTTTGCATATCAAACCCTGAAATACCGGATACGCTGACGAGTGCAACCTGATTAAACTGCATTTTGAAAACTCACCCTTGATCTTGGTTAGTTGATACTCAACCCCGGAGTCGAGCTGATATTGAATAGTGTTCACACCACCGGTAGAAGCATTAATCCAACCCTTCGACGATTTATGAGCACTTTCCACCCTGTTAATAGCCATTAAAATAACAACTAATAAATAAAAACGCCCACAATATAATATAAAATAAAAGACGATAATGAAACCCAACATACCTAGATGTCGACGTGTTCCGAAAATGCAAAATCTTATTAGCCCATGCTTTGACGAATTTGTGCTTGTAAATTAGCCAAGTATCGTTAAGGTATGATATCAATTTGGGGTAACAACCATAGCGTCTAACCATTTCCTCGTAATTATCATTGTAATCTTCTTCTGTTTTTGACTTCACTAATTTTGCCCAATGTATGCGCCGAAATATAAGCCCGTGTTTAGTACTACCAATAAATCTCGATGCATTTTTTTCCACGTTTCTATTGATGTGAAACAAACACAAGAAATGAGCGGAATCTGGAAATATTACGGGCATTGCTTTGATAAGTCCCAATTCACGATCCGTCAATATCACATTAGGTACCAGCCCCCCCAACGCACATTTCAAACAACGCAAAGCCCATTCGTATGTGTTTGCATCTTCATGTGACATGAAAGCAACAGTAATTGTAAAATTCATACCAACAGGAGTGATTCCAATTATTTCCAAAAGTGGCATCTCATACCTACGTAAATACATAAATATCAAATGCAATCAATCAATGTAAAATAGCACAATAATAAATACTAATTAACAACATACCTATTGGTTTTGTAAGTGCAGTCCATCAATATGACGTGAGAGAATAACCGCAAAAGTTTCAACTAAATAGGAGCAGCGAACATCAAATCAGTAAGTGTATCATCACCTTCATTACTTCGATACCAATATTCATATTCAGATTCTTGAAGGTTCGACATCAACGTGTTGTATCACAGTCTTCCCCGCCATATTCTCTTTTTTCATCTTCTCAAGTTGGTTGTAGACATGTTTCACACTCGTTGATGTCTGTGGATTATCCTTTCTCAATCGATCCATAATTAATGCCGGCTTCACGTGGCTCTTTCTAAGTAACTTCACTACCTCGTATTCTTCTGGTGTCAAACGACTATCCGGTCCTTGTCCGGTAGGATACGGTAGTGTCGGGTGAGTGTGAGTGCCACTTTTTAAATTCATTCGCCATAGTCCATCGTTTGAATTTTTGCTACAGTATATACGAAAAGGACATCCACATTTTTTTGTTCCCACATTCCGTGGTATCGCACCTACGGTTCGTTTTTCACGTCCCTCCCCAGACAAATGACATCTAATTACTACATACATGTTTTTCTTGCTTGAAGTTACTATCAATCGATGACCATGAGTAGCAGCCATTTTTTTGCCCATTCCACTAATTCTTTCCCAGTTTCAAACTCAACACCTACATTGAAATGTTGACTGTGATCCTCAGAAGTTGTTGGTGTGTCTTGAGGAACATCGAAACACATGTTGGGATCCTCGTACTCGTTGTACGCTTTGTCACGATTAGTTGTAAACTCATCGTCAAAATCACCTTCAGTACCCTATTAAGATATAACAAGTTATAATTAGGATATAAATAACAATATTAAAAAAAAAAAAAAAAAAAATTATTAGGGGTTCCCGTGCCGGCGGGCACGGGGGTGCACTGTTCCCGTGCCGAAGGGCACGGTGGTGCACTGTTCCCGTCCGCCAGGGCACGGGAGTCTCAAACCTCCGTCCTCTAAGGCACGGGAGCACGATATTCCCGTGCTCCCCAAGACGGGACCTATAGTTTCATTTTTTTTTTTTTTTTTGATTCTCCCGTGCTGTACAACACGGGAATCCCTAATTTTTGGGATTCCCGTGCTACACAGCACGGTATACCCGACGAAAAACAAAAAAAATCCGCTACTTTCTTCGATTTACCTCGTAAAACTCGTCAGAATCGGCCATAGTGTTATATGTTGTCGTCGGGCAGTCGATTCATCAAATAAACACGAAAATCTTAATTCTCGACTTTTTTTAGTTGAGAGAGTTTTCAGTTTTTCAAAAAGTTTGAAAAGTTGAAATGAAAAGGTATCGCTGCAAATAAGCCAATTTCAGTTAAAAGTCCCGCTACAATTAGCATTTCAGTTTAGTTATAACACATTAAAATTTTAATACTACTGGGGGGATAGTATAATTATTAAATACGCAAAAAGTAATTAAATAGAAAAAAAAAGTCTGTCAGATATTTCCAGCCCGCTTGACCAGAGCTCCAGCCAGACTTATATTGCTAACCGCTAGGGTCGATCATCTTATCTGCGGAAACACAGCGCTTCGTGCCACTGTGCCCACAGCTTCATCACAATCCGGCCAAGCAGGAGGGTTATCATCATCCAGACTTGACACGGTGTTGACCAGGCTGCCCCCGCCTTAACATAAATACATCTTCTTTATTATGTAAACCTCCGATGTGGGACACTGACATTCATTTAACACAGGCAGATACCCCTTAAATGCTCTTCTTTTTCTTTTCTTTTAATCTATATATATATACACACACACACATGGGCAAATTGTCTTATCGAGCCAGACAAAACCGACCTGCTTGCTTGGCTACATACTAGATTTAATGGCTTGATATACGACAAAACGAACGAACCCTTAAAGAACAACCTCTTACTGTACTAACCTCCGATAACCAAATCCTCAATAAACGAACCATTAGTCCATTAAGAATTGAGTGAAAGGGATTTCATTGGTTTTTTTCACAAGTAATTGGACAAACACAAAGATTGGCCGAAATAAACGAAATAACAATTGCAATACATAAAGTGGACAAGCACAAAATATAGCAGTAGCAAGCAAATTTGTCAAAATAAATAAGACTAGCATTGTTCCAGCCTTTCACTGGGCATTCACACCTCCACACACACACCTATCATTTTTTGTGTTTTTTTCACAAAATACAAAAGGAGTCTAGATGAACACAAACAAAATTAGTTCACAGCCCAATTACATATATTCCAAAAGCATATATATAAATATATACATAAATAGTTTCTCTGAACCTGCAAATGAAAAATCAATAAAAAGTGTTAAATGCTAGTAAATGCATGCAGCATAAAGCTGAGAGGTTGTTAAACAGTGTAAATTTCTATAACATAGACTGGAAGGTGTACATACTTGAGACATTAGATTGCAATTAATTGACCTCTCTCATGTTTCGTGCTAAAGATATTCAAATTTACGAGATATAAATACACACAAGTACAATTGAAGAAGTGAAACTTGTGAAATGACATTCTCTTTGGGACGTGAGTTCCTATCGATGAATTAGCCACACTCAAAAGAGTTTTTACTTTACTACATGCATCTCCAACATATATATAGCATCACTCACATGCAACGTTTGAACTATCCGGAATAACTCAAGAGACTAATTGTCCAACATCGTCTTAAGTACTAAACTAGTAATTATAAGTTAAAGAGTAAACGTATTTCTCTCGATTTGGTTGGGGGCTCGAATTATGTGGGACCCACATTTTGATCATAGTTGACATAACAATTGATCCACGTCAAGACATACTAACATCAACCACTGGGATGCACCAAATAGATTTTAGGTATTCTATTCTTTGTTAAAGAAAATAAATTTACGAAAAAAAAAGAACAGGACATAAAATAAATTTGTATATGCGAATGCCCACATCTGCAATTCAAGGCTAATTAAGTAGAATGAACTGATTCAGTCACCTCAACATGTCGATAAAAGCGAAAAATTACAGCCATATATGTATGAAAAATATGTGTAAAGATGTGTATGAAGAGTAAAATTTATGCTTAACAGAAGCAAAATGACAAAATTGTACATTACCTAATGAAGGTAACCAAAGTCAGCTGGAAGGACAATTTCGACAAACACTACATAGCGATGTGTGATCGAAACCCTAGCTCGAAAAATTTGGGGTTTTGGATCTTCACAATTCACAACCTTCTTACGAGGCTTTGCCCTAAACATCAAATCCACCATTGATAAATCTCCAGTTGCACGCAGCAGCTCCATCAAATTGTATTTCATGTACTACACACACACACACACACACACATAATAAATTGAAAGGAAGAAGCAATTATTAATAATCAATTCATTAATTAATTGTAGACTGAACATAAACAAAAAAGTTTGTTTTTTTTTTTTTTAAAGAAAAGATGGGGAAAAAAAATATACATACATGTGTTCTGTTGTAGAGGCTAAGGGCGAAATTGGTGAATTCATCGAGAATTTTCCATGTTTTGCCATCACAGCGCGTGGAATCAACGTCGTACAATACATTTATAACGATGACTGTGCTCTTGGGCTGCTGCTTCTTCGATTTGAGTTTCGTATGTTTCGTCTTATTATCCGCAGATGTACCCACGCGCTTGCGCTTCTTCTTCGTTTTTGTTTTGTTTACGCTACACTCGCCGGATTCCGCCGGAACACCGTCCAATTTCGGAACTTTGTTCATGCCGTCGCCGGATTCACAACAATTCATCTCTCTATCTCTCTCTCTCTAGAAATCGAAACCCTTATTTTAAAGCTTATTATTTAATATTTCTTTTATTTAAGAAAGGTAATGGGCTGGAATTTTTGGAATGGGTTGGGCTGCCACGTGTAGATTATATTTTTCCCACTTTTAATAATAATTTAAAACTGGGAGTAGAGAATGACAAAATATATGTGCTAACTAATTCAATTTAATTCATGATAAAATAAAATCGAACCCATTAAAATTCAGATAAACTTATGCTACATTGCTACGTAGGAAAATAACTTTTTACTATGTTTATTTTTGTTATGATAAAAAGTCAGTAATAAAAGTAACATTTTTATTACGTGACAATTTTGAGTCGTAGTAAATGTTAGGATTTACGGTAGCAAAAAAGAAATTTGATACGGTTATTATCCGTAGCAAAGTTTTTGTCACGTCGCATCTGTTATGAGGCGAATTCGTAGCGCATGCATAGCAAAAACTTTTTCACTACAATTTGATACATTTTGCTATAGTTAATAGTCGTACTGAAAAGACATTTTTCTACTGGCGTAGAAGTAAATTTAATATGCATAACTTAAATCTGAATTTTGAATAAATATTTGATTATTTTTCTACCCATTTTATTCTTGATCATTAATTGCAGAAAAGACTATTAAATATGAGATTAAAAGAAGTAAAATAAACTAATATTTGATATAACTTTGTCAGAATAATTAATTTTATTTGTTCTTTTGAATTATATATTTGAATATTCTAGACATATAAATGAGTTTTGTGTTCAAAAAACTCAATTGAAATTAGTTTATCTTGCATATAATATCTCTAGATCATTTAAATTTGTTTATTTCAATTTATACAAGCATTAATATTGTTCCTATGACATGAATATTTTTATCAATGCACAAGTATTAAAACAACTAGAAATTAAAAATATTTACATGATGTGCACGGCATAGCATTGCGATGTGCATCGCATGGGCGTAATACTAGAAAACGGGAGGCGCATGATTCGAAATAGATTCGATCCATTTCTTAGTCAAAAAATAGAAATTAGATATAATAAACCTAAGCTAAAAAAAATGTTTTTGCATTTTTGGAAGTGATTTGCTCTTAATATTCTCTTCAAATAAGTTCATTTTCAATTTCATGTATTTACATTAATTCCAGAGCCAGGATTAATATCGGCAGAATCGCTTTCCGTATTGTGTGCAATAGGGTTAAGGTTAACAATCATGTATGTAATGGAGATAAAAATTCAAACATTTTACGGAACTAGTAGTTATAAGTTAAAAAGTCGTACAAAAACGACGACGACGATGGTAGACGCAGAGTAAAACCTATTTCGGCAGAATTTAGACACATTCAAGAGCGGTCAAGACAATTAAATTCATACTGAAAACAAAACGTATGGAAATTAAATAATTCCAACATCTTACTGAACTATATTCGTACGAAAACGACAATTGTACCGAAGAGGAAGACGACGACGCAGAGCTAGTGAAACCCTATTTCTCTGCTCGAATTTACGTGTGGCCCACACTTTAACCCATAGTCGGCATAACGAATGATCCAGTTCAAGAAACACTAATATCAACGACGTCTAGGGCTGCATATACATAACAAAGGATTATTTGTATATATATATATATATATATATATATATATATAGAGAGAGAGAGAGAGAGAGAGAGAGAGAGAGAGATGGAAAATTGAGTAAGATTTACCCATCAAAGGTCACAGGCAAGGAGGGAGGGGTGATTTTGACGGACTTGACAGTATTACTGAGGGTGTTAACGAGAGCTCCAAAAGTGCATAACTCACCGTTGTTGATCTCCTCTGCGGTAATTGTCAAACCCACCATTATTGTTACTCCAGTTGCATAGCTCAGCTCCACAAATCTGTATTTTATGGGCTACACACATAAACACCCACCAAATTATTATTTTATTTTAAGAGAGATCTAGAGAGAGATCTAGAGAGATTACAATTTACAATTTACAAGATTAGAGAATTACGTACATGTGTTTTGTTGTAGACATCAATAGCTAATCTGGAAGCTTTTATCAACCTTTCGAAGAGCAAAGGATGACATTTTTTGGGATTTCCTTTATACCACACGTGTGGAATTCCAGAAATTTCCCGTGTTTCGGGTTCTCGGGTCTCGGGTTTCGGATTCTTCTTCTTCTTCTTGTCGACAAGGAGAAACTTCCAGACATTCCTTCGCGGTTGCAATTTCCACACTTTTTTCATGCCGTCACCGTCACCGTCACCGGATTCACCACAACCCCTCCCTCTCTCTCCAAACCCTAGCCGTTTTTCCCCTTCCAAATTTAATCAATTATTATTTTATAATAAAGATAATATAATATTTATATATCTATATAATTCTATGAATATTTTGTACAATTCACATAAATGTCAGATGGGGATTCTTTAAGTTGATTTTTTTTTTCTAAAATTACGAGATATATTGGAATTTTCACTTTTTTTTTTTTGCACTCTGGTCCTTTATCCCGGTTAATTAAGATTTTTTGAGTTTTATTTGCACGTTAACATAATAAAATCAAACTTTACTATTTTAGTATTAGTAGAAGTATTTTTCTCCAATAATATATCTTTTTTTACATATATTATATCTTTTTTTTTTTGTTTTTTTAAGGAAAAATTAACTTTATTTATTTAGGCATACCTTGCCAAAACTGAAGGAAGATTATAACCTTCGTTACACGAGTCACCATAATTTTTAGCTATAAGATGAGCTAAAATATTTCCCGAACGTTTAATAAAATTAAAGACACAACTTTCAAAAAATTTAGCCATACACCAGCAATCTTCGACATAAGCGCCAAATGAACATGATTGAGCATCCTCTCCTCGAAGAGCTTCGACAACTTTGAGGCAATCTCCTTCCAGAATAATTGATGGCCAACTTTCCTCTTTGGCTCTAGTCAATGCGAATAGTGCAGCATGAGCTTCACAATCGACTGCCCTTGGTCGGCCTCTAAAGCTTCTAGCTGCCCAAAAGATACAGTGACCCTGCCAATCTCGAGCTATCACAGCCACCGTGTAATGGTCTGTACCAGCTGGAAGAGCTGCATCAAAATTCAGTTTAATTATTCCTTCTCGAGGCGGTTTCCACTCCGTTGGATGAGCGCGTTGCTGTATGGGAGTACGAGGAAGTTGTGCTTGTTGATACAAATTGAGAAAAGTCAGACCCCAGCTAATAAACTCGTCCATCGCCATCCCTTGCTCTCCATGCATCTCTCGATTTCTTGACTCCCAAGCTTTCCACACTACGACGACCGCCAAGAGAAAGGAATCCTCTGTTAACTGTTGCTGCCATTGAATTATCCAATCCCACATAGACACTGGTTTTGGCTGCCCTATAATGCCAAAAGGGTGTGACTTCCATATTTTTTCCATTCCTCGACAACGGAGAAAGACGTGCATAGGTGTCTCCCACTCTCTCCCGCAATGGTTGCACATTGGAGAGGTGGCAATTTTTCTTCTAAACAGCTCGGCTTGTGTGGGGAGTATATCAGAACAGGCCCTCCAAAGAAACATACGAATTTTCGGGGGAAGTGCCAAATGCCATATGTTCCTCCATCTTCTGCTTGATAGTCCACTCGACGATTCATTCGCTAGACCCCTATTAGCATGATAGTTGTGTGATGTTACTAGGGCGAGTTGATAACACGACTTAACCGTAAATTTTCCGTCCTTCGTGTAGTGCCAAATCCATTTGTCCGATGCATATGAACTTCCAATCGGTATAGCCAGAATACGTTCTCGATCCACTGGCCAAAACTGCTCATTAATAATCGAGATATCCCACGACTTTGAAGTCTGGTCAATTAAATCTTCGACTCTATCTGGGAAACACGAGTGCAGAGGTCTTCGAGTAATAACTTTGAAATTTCCATCGTCACCGAGCCATGGGTCCGCCCAGATAGATGTGCTTGAGCCATCACCAATTCTCTTTCTTAAACCTTTGAGCAGATGAGACCGTGCCTTAACTAAACTCCGCCAAGTCGCTGAAGGCCGCGAACCTAATTCAGCCGTGAGAACTTCACCATTGGAGAAATAACGAGCTTTCAGAATTTTGGATAATAGAAGGTAAGGGTAATTTAAAATTCTCCAGGTTTGTTTGGCTAATAATGCTATATTGAAACTACGCAAATACCGAAATCCAAGACCACCATCAGCTTTCGACATGCACATTCTATTCCACGCTAACCACGGCATCTTCCTGTCATTTCCATTTCCCCACCAAAACCTTCGGATGGCCGATTCCAGATCATTAATGAGACCCACCGGTAGCATAAAGCAACTCATCATATATGACGGAATTGCTTGCAAAACAGCCTTAATAAGAACCTCTTTTCCGGAATTTGAGAGTTGTTTCTCGCCCCATCCTTTAATACGTGCCCAAATACGATCTCGAAGAAAACTAAATATTTCTTTTCTTGTTCTTCCCATCGAGACAGGCATACCTAAGTATTTTTCATGTCGATCCACCACTTGGAAACCCAAAATATTGCAAATACTCTCCTTCAAAGCCGCGGAAGTTGTTGGACAAAAACTCACATTAGTCTTTTCAAAATTAATCTCTTGTCCCGAAATCCTTGCGTATTGATCAAGAATGTTTTTCATAGTAATCGCATCGGCTTCAGAAGCTTTACAAAACAGAAGAGTGTCGTCCGCGAAGCACAAATTGGAAATTGTGGGAGCTGATGGAGCAATTTTAATTCCATGAAAGTTACCTTCATTGACTGCCTTCTGAACCATAGTAATTAAAGCTTCTACACAACATATAAACATATATGGGGACAAAGGGTCGCCTTGCCGAATACCTCTAGATGGACGAAGCGAGCCAAATTGTGAACCATTAAAGAGAAATGAGTACGAGACAGAAGAGATACACAACATAATAAGATCAACAAACCCAGGCAAAAAACCCAAACGACAAAGAATTTTTCTCAAAAATAACCATTCAATCCGATCGTATGCTTTACTAATGTCTAACTTGACTGCCATATAATTATTTCGATTACTAGAGTTGGACTTAATGAAGTGATTGATCTCGTAAGCAACGAGAACATTATCGGTGATAAGACGTTTGGGAACAAAAGCAGATTGGGTAGGTGAAATAATATCACAAAGAATCGGTTTGAGACGATTAGCAATAGCCTTTGATCCGAATTTATAAATCACATTGCATAGACTGATAGGTCTATACTCTGTCATTTTTTCCGGTTTTTTCACCTTAGGGATAAGAACAATGTAGGTGAAATTAAGGGCAGAAGGGAGTCTCTTATTATTAAGAAATTCTAACACGCAAGAAATAACATTAGACCCTAAGATATGCCAATATTTAGTATAAAAGATAACAGAAGGCCATCCGGGCCAGGAGATTTTAAAGGGGCCATTTGAGAAATAGCACGGGTTACCTCATCAGCAGTGAAAGGCATGGATAACATCTGATTCGCTTCGCTCGTAACTCTCGGCTCAAAATGCTCCAAAACCTCATCAATCTCCCTCTCACTCGGATTGGTAGACTTGAAAATGTGAGCAAAGTATTCAGCAATAATTTTTTCGATGTCTTCCTCATTCACCTTCCAGTTCCCATTCATATCTTTTAATCGATCTACTCTGTTAACACGATTACGAGAGGAAGCCTTTGCATGAAATAACTTTGTATTTCGGTCTCCTTCTTTCATCCATTGAACTTTGCTCCTTTGACGCCAATAAATATTATATCTTTTATATTTGATATTATTTTATCAATTAATTTATTTTCAATTTAATCAAAAGAAATAAATGTTTTTTTTTATTATGTCATATTAATTATCTATATCAAATATTGAAGGTTTTTTTTATATCATTTAATCTAAATTTATTTATTTCTCTATTTTTTAAATTATTCTTCAGCATCGCACGAGTGAAATATTACTTTTTAATTAAAATACATAAATATCATTTTGTTGACTATCCATTATTTTCTCATTTTCTTTGAAGAAATACCAATTTCAAAGTTTGAATATTTTGATCAAACATTATATATGTCTAACTCTGCTTCTGAAATTTATTTTCGAAAAAAATATTAATATTCGTTGCGACCCAAACCCTATTCGGGTGAATCAACGGGTCCCACGACTAAGAACATTTCGAAAACAGCCGAGCTCACCGAAGAAGTCAATTTCCTGCTCCTTTCCGTACCCACATTCAACTTTAACAAAAAAAACATACATAATCAGCTGATTCAGCAATGGCCATGAATCTACCGTCCGATATGTACCATGTACCAAGATTTGATCGAACGGCTCCGATTTCACCCTCCTACGTATCGATCGATCTGAAAAGATTTCTAAAAATCCCTAAAGGTGTTAAAGAGTGTTAATGTACATACTTGAGACACTACATTGCAATTAATTCATGCTTCACGCTAAAAGATATAAATTCTTATTCGAATTTAAGAGATATAAATACATGTCATGTACGATTTTGAAGAAGTGATCGAAACTTCTCAAAACGACACTCTCTTTAGTACACGAGTTCAAGTATACAACGATTGATCAATCAATAGTTATATCAACTAGCCACATTCAAGAGCGTTCAAAACATTAATTACTCCGACATTAATCGGGGGCTCGAGTTACGTGGGACCCACTTTTTCTTTATCATACTTCACATAACAAATGATCCAGTTCTATCAACTACTTGAAAAAACCGCAGACAAGTTTCAAAACAGAACAATAGATTTCTACATGCAAAGAACAACAATTAAAAAAATCCGCTCTGAGATTCATTCAAGGCTAATTAAGTAGAGAACGAAGAGTAAAATATTGATAAAGAAAAGCAAAATATTAAATTATCGAGTTACTAATTTAACATGTTCTTACCGATTCGGGACCGAGAGAAACTATTATATTAATTTATCGATGTTCTACTGTATATATACAAGCTCAGAAGGACGGACAATTTTAACAAAGTCTACATAGTAAAGTGTGAATGAAACCCTAGCTCGAAAAATTTGGGGATTCGGATCAAGATCATACGGCACGGGCAGAGGAAAAGGCTTTGCCTTAAACATCAAATCCATCATTGATAAATCTCCAGATGCCCGCAGCAGCCTCATCACCTTGAATTTCAGATCCTAATAATAAATTACATGGAAGAAGCAAATTTATTATTAATCAATTGATCATTTATAAACAGCAGGATTTAATTTATTTATTTTTTTAAAAAGAAGAAAAAAAGGTTGGAAAATAATACATACATGTGTTTTGCTGAAGACTTCAACAGCTAAACGGGTGCATTTGTTTAGGGTTCCCTTTGATGTACCCTCGCAGCGCGTGGGATCACGGTCGTCGTACAACACATCTCCACGCAGGAATGTGCTCAGTCTCAGTAGCTTCTTCTTCTTCTTCAGCTGCTGCTTCTTCTTCAATTTGAGTTTCGTCGAAGATGTACCCACGCGCTTGCGCTTCTTCTTCGTTTTTGTCTTGTTCACACTATACTCGCCGGATTCCGCCAGATCCCCGTCCAATTTCGGAACTTTCTTCATGCCGTCGCCGGATTCACAGCAACTCATCTCTCTCTCTCTCTAGAAATCGAAACCCTTATTTCAAAGTTTAATATATAATGTATAATATTTCTTTTATTTGAACGAAAAATAAAAATAATGGGCTGGATTTGAGATTGGGTTGGGCTGCCACGTGTAGGAATAGAATTATAGAAATCAGGCCCATCCGATCAATTATTATTATTATTATTATTATTATTATTATTATTATTATTATTATTATTATTATTATTATTATTATTATTATTATTATTATTATTATTATTATTATTATTATTATTATTATTATTATTATTTTCTCCTAATTTGTATAAATATTCCCTTCAATATGCTCATTTTCAACGTCATGTATTTAAAATTAATTATTATTTTTGTCACTTTTGAAATGCTATCAATTGCAAAAGCTACAACATTAGTAACCTCAAGTATTTTAAAAAAATGCAAGAAAATAATAATAATAAATAAATAAAAATTAACCGATAAAATATGTTAGTTTTACAGTTTACACACTATGGCATATTTATCCCAAAAAAAAACAATGGATAAAAGTTCCACCATTGATGACTGATCCACACACACACACACACACACCAACATGGATGTGTGTGTTTTTTGTTCAGTGAGTCACGAGAACAGCGGTAGTGTTTCCGACCAACGGCTGTAGATTAGCAGCATTTTCCAAGCGCTCCCAAATTTCGCTCCGTTTTTCGATTTCCGAGTCTTGCCTTTCTTGTTCCTCTCGGTAATTGGAAATGCAGGCAGATACAAGGGGTTCGTCCATTTCTGCGAGCATCTTCTTCACGTTGAAAGTCAGGTTGAGAATCGAATGGTTCCAGTGGTTCTGCGCGTTTAGTTCCAGAGCCGGAATTACTATCGGCAGAATCGCTTCCCTGTTGTGCGCAATACGGTTCACAATCTGGTCGTTGTTCCACAGGAACAAAGCCCTCTCGGCAACCTTCAATATACATACACAATATAAATAAATAAATAAATAAATAAATTGAAACTATTTCGATTGCATTGATAATCTTAAATCTTCGACTTTTTTTTTCCTTCATTTCAATGACGTATTTTATCGCATCGATAAGTCTAAGTCCAGGGCAACAACCTAGTTCAGTTAAACCTCTATAAATTAATAGAGTCGGGACCAGGGAAATTCTATTTATTTAGCGAATTATTAAATTATCGAGTTAATAATTTAATCGAGGTTATTAATTTATCGAGTATTAATTTATCGAAAATTATACTGTATACTAGTACCGGTGGCCATGTTTGAACTAGCGAATTCTTGGAACCCTTGTACTAAAATACACTAATACGACGATTATTACCGTAACAACCGAACAAAATCAATACATAGCTAGTTCCCGATTCACATTAAACACCGATTATGTTACTATCTACGCAATCAAATAGTACTGATTTCGCATTAAATACCCGTAAAAAGAAAGCAAATAAAACAAGTTAATGAAGGAAGTTACCTGAAAATTATAACTATTCATGCAGTGTCGAATCCGATAGAACAAAGGCACCATAACTTTCTGAAAATCGGTCATATTAGTCGCCTCCAAAACCTCCTCCACCTCACCCAAAAGCATCAACTCCTTTTGGCTATTCGTAATCGGCCAACATTTCAAAAGCCCCTTGATCAACACAACCCCCAACTTCGGCTCCTTCTCGATGAACTGAGTCACGCAAAACGAGAGCTGCTGAAAGTAAACCCCCAAAGACTTTGGTTTGTGCAGAGGAATCAAAGCCCTCGAAAAGAATATCTTGTGCTCTTCTTTTAGAGGCAGAGCGAATCCCGTTATCACGCTCCCGAAAATCTCCAACAGCTCTGCGATTCCGTTGTGCTTCTCCGTTTCGAATACGAATCTGTGGAATACATTGCTTACGCACTTTCTTATAAACGGGCGGTGGATCATGAATTTACCGTAGACCCTATGCAGGATCGCCTTTAGTGAGTCCCTTTCTCTTGGATCGTCCGATTCGAATAAGTCCACGATTCTTGATATGAATGCATGATTTACGTACTTTTTTGCTACCTTTGCTTCTAGGGAAGTCGATGTCACGAATCTGAGGAAGAAATCGTACACTAGCTGCAAGTGGGGCCAGGCCGGATCGAATATGGGCTCGTCTTCATTGTCGTTTTCGGTTGTGATTCTTGATCGGCAATTGGGTGGGAAAACGCGGAATAAATTTATCGAGCACATTTTGCAAGATGCTAAAATCGCGGGCTCGGAGAATTTCGGTGGGTTTTCGGATACGAATTCGAGGAGCTCGAGCAAAGTGGCTCTTTTGAGCTCCTTTTCTTGAATGTTCTTTGCGGGGTCGGTGAAATCGAACACAACAGAGCAAAGACTCAATTTACTGATGAAAAGATTCATTCTTTCGGAATTCGGGACGTCTTTAAAGGCGAGCAATGGCTCGATACCTGCAATCACACTGGCTGGAAAAACTGCAGCTGAGGCCCTTTTGGCAGCCGGGTTTGCAGCATTAGGGCCTAAATTAGGGTTTCTGGGTAAATCCTGATCTGATTTTGGGGATTTTCGGGGGAGTTTACCCAGAAATTGCTTCCACATTCTTGATTTTTTTTTTTCTTCAATTTTTTGAAAAAGAAGATAAAAATTGAATCTTTAGGGTTTTCAAATTGAAGGCGAAGGCGGGGGCGGATTAAAACCTAACAAAGAGGGGTGATCCGTGATAAAATTGAAGATCTGGGAAAGGCCCATTTAAATTAGCACATATAAATTGCATAAAAATTGGATCTTTAAACAATTTTTGAACAAAAAAAAAATCATAAATAATCAATCAATGCAGGCCGGAAATTTCAGTTAAATCAAGAAAAGAAATCTGAAACAATCACCATCATAGTACAAGGCAAATCACAGACAACTACATTAAAAAAAAAAAGGGAAAAGGGATTTCTTGTAAGCATGAATATGTATGTAAAAAAAAATCAATGGCAACCACTGCATGTGTGTGTGTGTGTGTGTGTGTGTGTCTGTAAAGAGACAACCTCAATTAGTGAATTGAAGGGGAGAAGAAGTAGTATTATTTAGAATTAAACCCACCTAGGATTCTTTTTATTGTAAAAATAGAAAGAAAGAAAGAAAGACATACACACATGCAGATTACAGGGGAAAAGGTTGGATCTTTCAATTATACATTAGAGTATTACATCCATGTGTTAATGTACTTTGGTGCAGAGAGAGAAAGTTAGAGAGAGAGAGTGTGTGTGTGTGTGTTGTCAGTGGTTAATTATGAAAATTGCCACTGATGGATGGATAGGTTAAAAAGGGAGATGGGAATCAACTCAATAATTTCATGTTTCCTTGTTTTTTTCTGACTTGGAAAAAGAAATAACTGATATATATATATATATATATATATATATATATATATATATATATATATATATATATATATATATATATATATATATATATATGTGTGTGTGTGTGTGTGTGTGTAACAATTCAATGTAGAGGAAATTTTCTATGTTATATGGGGCTATTTATATGGGGTGATTTGTTAGTTTAGTTATAGATGTGTATTATGCTTAGTGGAAGATTATCTAGCTCCACCTGCAGTTAACAATCATCCGATGTAAATAACTCGATGTAGTATAAAACTTCCCTAAATTGGAATATTGAGTGACAAAGTTATGTATGAATAAATTAGATTTTTGAATTTTAAAAAATTCAAAACATCAAAGTTATGGGCAATGTTCATTGATTCATGCATAACTTTATCGTTCGATATCCACTTTTGATTATTCGCATTTTTTTTATTAAAAAGCTAGCTCAAAGAAATACAAAATTGGTATTTTGAATTTTGCCGAATTGAGCCTTAAAATTAGTCAAAATTACATTGTAAGTTGAAACGATATTATTAACAACAAAACGATATCAGTAAAATTCAAACGGTATTTCGAGTAAAATTATCCAAGTATATATTTTAATATGTGTTTTCATATGCAATTAATTAAATATTATATATGTATGAAATGATATATATCAATGGTGTAATTCGCTGGAAAAGTTTTGGGGCCTCGCCAATTGTAAGGCCCAGCCCACTACCTACATAATTAAACAATTAAATATTGGGGGCCTTTTTGCATAAATAATTTTGATAGCCTATATTAATTAATACAGTCGGACCAGATAAATTGAATTAATTTAATGAAATATTAATTTTACAAAATATTGTTTAAAACATTATTCTTGAGTTGGGATCAAAAAAATATTATTTAAACGAGATTATTAATCTAGTAATTATTAATTTATTGAGGTTGTACTGTATCCCCGAATATTAATTTATCGATTTTTACGAAATGTATCTCATCATACTATACGAGAGTTTTGAAATAAAGATTATAATTTTTTTTTACCAAAATAATAATAAAAAAAATCAAAAGTGTTAATCACGTTCCGGGACAGGAGAGTTAATACACATACACACAATTACGGCCACCCCCTAAGTTGGGTCAAATTACGAAAACACCCCCCCCCCCTATTTGGGTAACTACAGTCGCCCCTCAACTATTTATTATCTTACGAAACGACCCCTCGAAAGGTAAATTTAGGGATGTTAATTCGGTAAAACCGAACCAAAATTTCTGTACGCCAACATTTCATACCGTTTACCGAACTAAATATACGATTTAGTTCGATAAATAATCGAATTACATAAATTTCATGTAAAAATATCTAAAATGAGAGGTAGCTATAATTACCTAAACAATAGAGGTTTTTTTGCAATTTAACCATATTTTAAGGATGGCTTAATTTGCCTATTACTATATGTAAATCTAATGTTTCAATTTACATAATATAAATAACCAGACGTATCATCTAATTTCTCGATATTAACGTACTTTCTAAATAAAACATAAACATCAAAATAGAAAAGTATGAGTTCAATAAATAGAATATTCTCAGGTGACCAACCCAAGCCAAAGATAAAATCTTTATTTATTAAAAAAACAAAAAGAAAAAAAAAAACGCGTCAATAAATTCAATTTTCGACAACGAATTCAAAGCTTTCGTTCGCAGAAATCTTCATCAGATTGCCCCCTTTTCGTCAGACCCTCGTTATCTGGTCCGTAATTCTTTCCAACTTTTCATCTGTGATTTTTTTTTCATAATTATATTCAGGTAGTTTAATTCGTTGTCGTCGATAATTAGTTGATTACTTTTCAGTTTTTGTTTTTAATTTCTCTGTTGCATTTGAGTTTGAATTTTCAATGTTTACACCGAGGGTTTGTTGAATTTTTTTTTTTATTTGTTGATTTCATTTTCGCCGATAACAATTCGGAAGATGGTCAACGATCTAATGTTATTGAGGGATTGTATTTTTTGGGGGTTTGAAAACTAATTTAGGTTACGAAGTTTGAATTTAATCCGTCTTTTCTTTGTCCATCATGTGAAAATGGTGTTTATCTGTTGTAATGATGGAGTTAGGTATTGGAAATTATAATACACTTCTGTTTGTATTTGGGGCTAGGGTTAAGTATTTAAGATTGTTGATTCGAGTTAAATGAATATAGTTTACTGTGCATTTACGACACCGTTGTACGTTTGCACGTTGTTTAGTTTTTTCGTTTATTTTCTCGTTGTTCCGTTGATTGTCGAAGTACATATAAGTTTGTTCTAACCTGCTTGTGTTGTTGTGTGCTTCAAACAGGAAAGAGGGTTGTTGCAATCTGATTGCATTAGTCGAAAACAGGGCAAAAAATTCAAGATTCGAGCGACTTCATTACATTATTGATTTTACTTTCGGAAAAAAAGGTTTTCGAAGTACTATATTATAATCCCATGTTTTCCGTGCGTGGGACAAGTGTACGACTCGGATGGCCTTTCCCGTAGTGGGTCTTCATCGTAAAAGCCAAACAAACAAAGTCCCTCTGTTAATGGAGCGTGCAGAAACTCGTAATGATAGTGAACACATAATCGACATAGCTGGCACCAGTAATGCTTCTTCTTCTTCATCGTCGTCGTCTAGTTCGTCCAACGAAAGACCGTCCAATGGACAAAACAGTGAAGATCTTCCGTCCACTAGTTCACGGGTCCCGGTGTATCAACCTCAACTACTTTCTTCGGGGTCAAATTCAAGAAATTCGTCGCTTCTTCGAAGAGGGAATACTCGAGGGCGGCAAAGGAGCCCGTTAAATTCGGGTCTGTGGATATCTGTTGAGCTGGTTTTGACAGTTAGTCAAATTATCGCCGCTATTGTTGTTTTATCTTTGTCGGAGCACGAGAAGCCACAAGCTCCGTTAAGAGCGTGGGTTGTGGGTTACGCAACTGGTTGTACGGCGATTCTTCCACTTTTGTACTGGCGGTTTAGATATCGAAACCAGGGTACCGAACAGGAGGCAGCATCTCAGATTCGATTGGAATCTTCCGTCGGGAATAATAGCGGGGCACCCTTGACTCGGAGAGTCGTTGAAGGGGAAGATCGCCGGTCAACTGGTGCGTTGACCAGAGGTGCCCAGGGTATTGGGTTGCCGAATGCAAGGTAATTCTCAGTACATTTACAACGTTTATCGATTTTAAAGACTAACATCTGTGTGTTGTTTGTGTTATACGTGTTGAACTTGTGGGGAATTGCAATATAATAAAATAGTTGTGGGCTACTATTGCAGGCTTAAGGTATTCGTCGAATATTTCAAGATGGCTTTGGATTGCTTCTTTGCTGTTTGGTTTGTCGTTGGCAATGTATGGATTTTCGGAGGGCACTCGTCATCTGCTGAAGCTCCTAACTTGTACAGGTAATGCTTTACTCTGTTTCTTGTTCAATTTTTTTTTTAATTTTTTTATTTTTTAATTTATTTTTAATTGCAGGTTGTGTATAGTATTTCTAGCCTTTAGCTGCATCGGATACGCTATGCCGTTTATTCTATGCACTACAATCTGCTGCTGCCTTCCTTGTATAATATCAGTCTTGGGCTTCAGAGAAGATTTTTCCCAGAATAGAGGAGCTACTCCAGAATCGATTAATTCTCTTCCGACCTATAAATTCAAAGCGAAAAAAAATAAGAGCGGCAATGATAAGGAAGGCGGCATAGTGGCGGCAGGAACAGAGAAAGAGCGTGTGATATCCGAAGAGGATGCGGTTAGCTTCTCTTATCTTGGTTTTACAAATTTGTCAAACTTTTTTGTTGACTTCAATGCTTTGATGTATCAAATAATCAGCTCCTAAAAATAATATCTTTATTATTCTACTCTGTAGGTTTGCTGTATTTGCTTAGCAAAATACGCGAACAACGACGAGCTTCGAGAGTTGCCTTGCTCACATTTCTTTCACAAAGAATGTGTCGATAAATGGCTGAAAATCAATGCATCGTGTCCACTCTGCAAAGCTGAAGTCGGTGAGACGATTTTGACTTCACTAACAGAAGCCACTGCCAGCTTGCGAAATAGCACCGTTTGATGAATTTGTCGATAAAGGAAAGAAAAAAAAACTTCTTATTTTTTTCGGGTTTAAATTGGTTCTTTTAATCGAGGAAGCTCGATCAGTTATTTATGGTTTGAGTCTTTTTTATGCCCCATAAGTTGATAATTTTTTTGATTGTTTGTTTGGGATGTAGAAGAATCGTTGACCTTTGTAGCTTTTCTGTGTATACGTGTTGATTTTCGATTTCTATGGGAGAAAGATTTATGTAACAATGCCGGTTTATGTATATGCTTCTTGTTTGTTTCAGTGAATATTTTACAATCATGTCACGTTATTAATAAAATGTACTCGAACGATTTAATCACATCATATTTAGGGGTGTGACTGAAACTCGAGTTTTTCGAGCACGAGCTCGAAATGATCTTGCTTGCTTTTGTCTTTTGATCATAAGAGGGTTACATTAATTCAAAAAGAAATACAAGAGATAGTTTGAGATGTTACAACTAAGCACTAACACAATCCACAAAATCTACTATCTTTCATCCTCCAAGGGCCCGCTTGAGCCCGGCCCGTTGCTCGCCCGTCAATTTAGTGGGAAATTTAACTTCGAATCGGATTTTCAAATCGCCTCTACCGGTGGTGGTCCCCTTTGTAATGGGCATGCCTTCTCTCGAAACCACCAGTTCATAACCGGGGCTCACGATGTCGCTGACGGGGACCGACAGACTGCGATTATCCAGCGTGGTGAGGTCCACGGTAGTACCACCGATCGCTTCCGCCAGAGTCACACGATGGCTCATGATCAAATCGTTGCCGTCCCTCTTGAAGGTTGCGTGGGGCTTCTCGTCGATCACAAACACGAGATCCGCTGGGAGCTGGTTCAACAGCTCGATTCCTTTGTCTTGGAACGTTATCTTTGTTCCCTTTTTCCAGCCGGGCTTTATGTCTATCGTTAATATCTCCGTTTCTGTCACTAGACGCCTACGCAAGGGCATGATAGACAATATAATCAAGGTGTGTCAAATGTATCAAGAAATATGAGAGAGAGAGAGAGAGAGAGAGAGATTTACCCATTAGCATCAAGAACTTGTCTAGAGATCTTCATTTTTCTAGTAGAACCAGAATACAACTCCTCAAGTGTACAAGGCAATTTACTCTCGACAGGTGGTGGCTTCTTCATTGCCATGTTAACCGATCCACTCCCATCACCCGACGAGTTTCTGAACATATTATCACCGTCCGATGAAAACCTCATCGACCTACCAGCCGATCCGAATCCAAACGGGCTACTCCCGAAAAATTCAGCAAAAATATCTTCCGCATTTCTTGAATTGAACCCGTTTTGGCTACCCGTCGAACCGGGGGGCGGTGGGGCATCTTTTAGACCTTCTTCTCCGTCTTGGTCGTAAATTTGCCTTTTTTGAGGATCACTCAATACCTAACAATAATGAAACAATAAAAAATATGGCATATCAATCTCTCTCTCTCTCTCTCTCTCTCATGCATGCATGAATGAATGTTAAAGAAAGTACAGATACATACATCGTAGGCTTCGGAGATTTGCTTAAATTTGGCTTCGGCTTCAATCTTGTTGTTGGGATTTTTGTCTGGATGCCATTTCATAGCTAATCTTCTGTAAGCCTTCTTCAAATCATCCTCTGTTGCACTTCTCTCCACCTTAAGTACGTCGTAATAATCCACCCCCATTTTTCTTTTCTTTTCTTTTTCAATCACAAAATGCAGATTAATTATATTCTCAGATCATCAATTTCATAACAGCAACCACTAATTCAGAGCCCCATTTCCCTTATTTCAAGAAAATAAAAAGGGTTCTTGAAGATATTTTTTTTATTTTTTTAAATTCAAGATTTTGTGCAGAATATGAATGTGGGATCTTTAATTTTCAGAGAGAAGAATGTCCTCTTTCCTGTGGGGGTATATACCTCTTACCGTTAGTTATTATGGTTTGTATGTCTTTTGGGAAGGAAAAAGTAATATTAAATAAATGAAAGGGCCGAAAAATAAATATTTATTAGAGTACCACCGCACTTGGCGGGAGGAGGTGGAGGCCTCTCATTTCCTTTTTTCCCAATTAATATTGCAGATGAGCTGATGATGTGATAGCACGATTTATTTATTTATTTCAATATCTCGAATATTAAATAAATATTTTATATGATCTTTCAACCCGAGCACATATAAATAAATAAATTGTTATAAATATTTGCACCATTAAATAATACATACGCTCATGTTTTCATTCTTCTGAACTGACAATTCAATTAACTTATAATAACATTATAAATATTACTCTAGAGGTAGTATCCCCGGTTATTGAGATGCTACACCTAGTGATTTTTAACCATTAATTATGTGCAGATCAACGGTTATTAATCACACCCAGTGTGCTTCACAAAATGTAGCGTCAAATAAACTGTATATATAATCACATGTTAACGGGGTAATTATAATTTACAGATTCAGTTGCATTTTCTTATAAATAAGTTAAAAGCATCAAGAAAAACCCTAAATAAGTGCTTATTTATGTAGCAATGAATACTGAAAATGTATAAAGCTTTTGATTTCTGAAAAGTACTTTTCTTCACCTCATGTTTTATCCAAGTAGCAAAACTGAAGATCAAGAAAGTCTCAATCATCATCAACAAGCTAATATAATAGCACAGACAATTTGGTTGTACCTTTCAAACAAAAAACCCCAATAAACATAGAAAGCGCAAGCAGATACAATCTATACAACCTGAAGAAAAGAAAAAAAAGAAAAAAAAACGAACGTATCGACACTGATCTTAACTTGAAAGGAGGAGAAGAAAGGGAGTTTCCCAATTCACAAGTTTATATCCACAATCTCAAAAGGCACCCCATTAAAACTGTTAGCACGAAAATCGAGCATATTAGCTCGGAGAAGTCATGTTGGACGAACCAGATTTCGAAGCTCCAGCTTCTGCAGTAACGACGTTCTTTACTTTGTGTGGTGACAGCTCGCTAACAGATCCAGATTCCGACACATCACCAATGTCCAAAGTGTCTGGCAGCTTATCCGATGAATCATCATCAGGGTACATCTGTCAAATGTAATGATACAATTTTATCTCCGATTATACTCAAAGTTATACAAATATACTATAATGTGCATTTACCATATACGAATATAGTATAATATAGTATAACTTGTATCTATCAAAGGCCTAGGTAAATCTTGCTTATGTTGGAAGCCGAAAAATACTTTATGTACACCAGAGAAAACTGTGGCGTATACACTCAAAAAATATATTTCCATTAAAATTTGATTGAAGCTACTATATAAATACCTCGCGAAATGAGGCAAAAGCAAAGCGTACAAAAATAGCAAAAAAATTATCAACCATAGCAGCAGCAAGAAAAGAGCAACATGACATGAAAGTCAGGTTCAATCTTCTTTAGGGTAATTTACCAATTCATTTTTTTTCTCCGTCACATTCAAACCACAGAATCCTTAAGCTACTAGACTAGGCACGAGATGGTCAATGGATTTTAGCAAATTTTAGCAGTGACCAAATGTCAATGACGTGCAGAATATGAAAGCCAACGACAGCGAAAAATACAAACACAAATGCGCTGAAATGAACACAAAACTAAAAACTTAAATAGCTGAATTTTTTCGAATATTCAAGAAATTACCTCAAGTTGTTGTAGCATGTCGACTGCAGCATCAAGGTCACATCTGTTGGCTAAATAGACATCAGAAAGAGACTCATTTGATATTCCAGGAAAGTTCATCTGAAGGAAAGCTAAGTCCATGTCGAAATATTCATCAAAGTTTGGCCTTTCAGGATTCTCGTTCGGGTACTGTGAGGTCGAGGCAAAGAGTTCACCACCACGGTAGGGAAATTCAGCAGTTTGAGAAATACTTTGGGGCCGAGCTTGAGGCAATGTAGTGTTTGGCTGATAGCCAGACCAGACAGCCCCGTTTCCATTATTCAGTTCTTGTGCTGAATTAAACTCTCGGTTTACTTCAGTAACCCCTCTTTGAAAGAGGGGTACATACGATGCTGCAAAGGGATTTAAAGAAGACGATACTTCCTTCATATTGCTCTGCAAAATGGAAATCAAAACTGAAGACATGTGTATACGTGATCCTATAACAACGAATTTAATCATTAATTCTTTGTGCTGAAAAACCGAGCAATCCTGGATACTCTCCTAAATTTCAGAATATGAACATCACCAAAATATCAACGGAAATTGTTTCCAGAATCAAATGAATTAATCATAACTAGAAACGAGGAAGAATTCATTTAAACCTGTGTTTACTACATGTTGACCAATCAGAAACCACCATCGAAGAAGCACATAGATCTAAAAATTATAGCAATCGAATCAATTAATAGTGATTCGCGGGGTTCATTCCAGTTCACACTCATTTTTTTTTAACTTAAGATAACAGAGGAAGAACAAGCATTTCTTTTCCGAACATGTCACTTTATCAACAAACTTCTTTGTTACTTCAAATTTCTTCTCACAGATTGCAAGAACACAGGAAAATAAAATAAATAAATTAAATTACCAATTCATCCATCCATATGCACATAACGAAATCTAAAGAACGAGAAATTCACGGAATACAAAAAGCTGCATGCTCGTACTGAAAAGTAACAGATTAAAAGTTTAAAACCAACACACAAAACGACAAAACAAAGAAATCACCAAAAGTTCAGAGAATATATGAATCAATCGATCCATAAGAAGGAAAATTACAACTACATCATACAATGATCACAGAAATTGAGAAGAGGAAAAAAGGACTCACGCGTTGAATCAGAAACGACCGGAACGAATTTCGGAGGATGAGCAAACCCTAGAAATCGCTTGAGAATTGCAGCGAAGAAGAAAATCAAAAGGGAATAATTGGGGAGAATTTTGCAATCATAGTGAAGGGATTCGGAAAAATGAAAAATGCGGAATGTTTTTAATTTTTTAGAATTTGTCCTTTTATGGAGAATGATGTCAGTTACTTTTTTACAAATTTTTATTTACTTTTTCTATTTATTTTTAGTAACGTGTAAAATTACCGAACTAAATAGTCTATCCACAATTTAATAATTACAATTTGGCATAAGAATTTTAATTATTGATTATTGAAATATGTTCAAAGAATTTGTGCCAAACATTGGATTTCATGTTAAAACTTAAAAGTTACTATTTATATAGGGGTTTGACTCTAATAATCAGACTCAGAGCTCGAGCCATTTCTGTATATTTACATGTTTTTTTTAATTTTAATAATAATATTATAATTTTATTATTATAAATTATAATAAAAAAAATAACCTGTAATTTATTTTTTAATTATTTTTATGAATTTATTATATAATGTTATATTAATTATATTTAAATAACCGTAAAAAAAATTAGCTAGCACAAGAACAACTAAGAATGAGCTCGGACTCGACACATCAGAAAATTCAAGCTCGAAAAATTTCAAGTTCGAGAGTTTGAGCTTTATTTGTAGTCATCTCAGCTCGTTCACACACCTAATATGGATTAAGAAAAATGCTTGGTTGGTTCAGGGTTATGTAAAGAAAACTTTAGGTCTATTTTCCTTGGAAAAACATTATTGAAAATAGGTTTAAAATGCAAGGTGATGCTCAACTTACATTTCTAGCTTGGGAGAATGCTTTTATGAGTTTTAAAAAAAAAAAAAAAAAATCGCAAAATTTTTAGATTTGATCCAAATTTAATTCAAAAAGTATTTTGAAATATTTAAAATATTCAAAAAAAATCAATAAATTCGGATCCCATCCGTCCAATTTCCGGCCCCAATTTGATGATAAACCAAGGCCTAAAAAAGGGGCAATGAAAGGAACCAAACACATTCCACTAATTGTAAACCAAAAATAAAACCAAACAAATTTGGTACAAAAACATATAACCAAACATCATGCCAACCTAGATAAACAGATACATACATCACAAAGTACAAGTATGTTACAACCTGCTCTAGGAAAGTTTCCCGAAAAAGAAAAAGAAAAAAAAGTACCCGATAAAAAAAACAAGTTCATCAATAACGAAAAATCCCCCAAAACATGTAAAAGTTATATCAGAAGTTCATTTATCGAAGTTTATTAAGTAAATAAAAAAAACCCGTCTCCATCTGTATATGATATAGCTCGACCAATTTTCTCTTTTTGTCTTACCGGATTGGCTGCTGGTTGTAATGGTTCTTCTCTTTCTTCTTAGCGGCAGCAAGTCTTGCAGTTCTAGCGGCAGCCTCCACAGCAACAGCTCTAGCAGCGGCAGAAGAATCCACATTGGACTTCTTTTTCTTTGCCGATGCAACTTTCTTGAGCCTCTCTTTCACATCAACTGTAGATGTGTCTTCCTCCACCTGTTCAGTTCCAGTGGTTTCGTCTGGTTCGTTAATGGCTTCCTTCACCTCTTTGGAAGCTGCTTTATCCTTCTTTTTCTTCTTCTTTGCACTTTTCGATTCTACAGGGACGTTATCCTTTTTCTCCTCATCTCCATTCACTTTGGAGACTTCTGCAAATGGCAAAAAAAAATTACAGAGAACTTCAGTCTACTTTGATAGTAACACCAGATCCACACCAGAAAGTGTAGCAAAATACAGAATAAAGACCGGATAGGATGATTTTGCATTCATAAAACAGATTAAATGGGTTTATTTACGGGTGGAAATCAGATGGATTCGATTGGAATAAGCCACTTGCAGAAAAATTCCAATTTTTTTCGGAAGTGAAAAACTAACTACAATTCCGTTCATAAAAAATCAGAAAAAATCGGAAATCAGAAATTGGAATGAGAAAAATCGTTCCAAAATCGAAATCTTCCGGTCGGAAATCAGCAAATTCAGAAAACTCAAATTTTTTAATCACCTAAAATATAAAATGCACAATAAAATTTTGATATTGTAAGTATAATTTTGGGAAAAGAAAATTCGGATTTTTCAGAAGTTAAAAGAGGATCGGAAATCGGAATCTCATATATATTCTAATCCCGATCCAAAGAAATTCGGGATGAAAAACACTGTTCCAAAATTAGAAAAAATCGGAATCGGGGTCGGCGAAAATCGGATAGTCTGTTTCAATTTCCACCCCTAGGTTATCTAAAAGAACTATCTCGATATCAAAATAAACTGGACAATTTTTTTCAAAGAGAGGAAACAATGTTTACCAGATTGCTCATCTTCAGCTTTGTCTTTCGGGGTCACACCAAAATCAGCTAAAATAGCCTCTAGTTCAGCTAGCTCCTTTTTCCTTCGCTCCTTCTTGGAGAGCTGTCTTTCTGTCTCTTTCGGTGCTGGAGAGGCCACTACAGGCTTTTCCACCGTCAACTCGGGTTGTTCATGGACCTCTGACTCACTGTCATTCCCCTCTTCCGCATCGTCATCACCTTCATCAAGAAGTTCGTCTTCAGTTTCACTTTCCTGCAATTAGCACGAGAAACCAAAATTAGTCGCAAATCCAATTATAATACATTCCATCCCAATGTAGATACAGCAAGGATGCCCAAAGATGTGGTTTTCTTGGTCAGAAAAACTTCTGCACAGATAGCTACACTGAAATTTCTCTCATTAAAAAAGACAGACGTGAAATGTTGCATAGCTTGAAATGGTTTGTCAAAGGTAATAAATGTATGATTACAGAACCATAGACACTGAAATAGTTGAAGCAATAAAAAAATCAGTTTTGATTAAGAGATGAATGCCAGGCCTACAGAAAAGGTTACAATCCAGAAGACTAAGGAAACATTTTAGAGATCACAAGGCTGAACGATGATGACAGATGTAGCTTCGATAGATGATCACTCACCATAAACATAACTACCTTATACGAAAAGTCGCTAAGGTAGGCTTTCGAAATAGAGGCATGGAAAAGAACACGGAGAGATGTAAACAACGTACACGTGTACAACGATATACGGAGGGGGAAAGATGCAGTCGAGTGCACATAAATATGTAATGGGATGCGGAACAGCAGAAACGCGTGGGGAAACATACACGTGTACAAGGTTTTTGATTAAAGAAATCACCCATACACCATTTATTGCTAATAGATTTTCAAAAAAGTTATTTTGAAGAAATGCACCATAAATGACCAATGATTAGACGACAATTGGTAACCAAAAGCAGATAGAATCTTCTTGAAAGAAGACTGCAAGATAATTTTCCTTATAAACCAATCTTCTTGATCAGATAGATAATGATGCACGTGCAAGGCCAAAATCCCTTATAAACCGATCCACACATTTCAAATGATTTACATGCAGATAAATGCGTTGATTTGAACATTCTAAAGATAGAATGCTAATCAACTTTGATAACAGAAATCACAAGTGAAAAAAGCAGATTTTACGATTTTGCTCCACAGCCGTTACATAGCAGAAAATTCGCTAAAACTTCGGGCTATGGCAACATCAAAATCCTTGGAACATATGAAAGGTATGGTACAAAATGAGATGGCACACATTGAAAATCTTTCAAAGTCAATTCAACCAAGAACATGGATGACTAGTTTATCATAGAAATCAACCACGTGTACGACAAGCATGATGTTAACTATATAACGACAAACAAATCATAGCATTTAAACAAAAGCACCTTTTAGGAGATTATGAAAAGCAAATCCAGCAAACGAATAAATTGTTACATGATATGGCGACACGTTACATGTCACATGGATAACATATTGACAGTTTATTCTCAGCTAAATTTCAATACAACATCTTTATGATTAACTTAATAACTGAATAAAAACACCTTTACAAAAATACAAAAATCATAAAAGGCAAAATACAGCAGACGATTAATCTTCCGGTGTAAATGTAATTATGATTTCAGACACAGTCTTTGATATATTAATTCCAAAACAACATATCTCAGCTACATATTCACTAGAACCCCTTCAAAGCCAATTCAAGCAAAAGACGTAATGCATGAGCCATATAATTTATCATACAAGTCATTTAAAATAACTACGAATTTTACTACAAAACGACAAAATGCGACGCAACATGTGGACTAAAAACACGATCAACAAATGCAAGACACGATCAACAAATGCAAGACACGATCAACAAATGAAAGACCTAGCAAACGACTTATTCTTTATCATCATATCCGAAAACAGAAAAAACAGAACACATAAAAATCAAACCAAATCATAATTCTTTATACCTCAACAAGATCCGGTTTATGAGTCTCCCCTGTCTCATTCAAACCAGAAGCAGCCCACATCGCCTGCGGCGGAGCAGTGGTTGCATAGTAATCGTCATCATCCTCATCATCGACATCCGCCCACGACTTCACAGTCAATGGAGCCGGAGCCCAAAACACCTGCTTCTCGGCCCCACCAGCAGCTTTGGAGGTGCCCTTACCACCCTTCGATGAGCCCTTCTCCTTGTCAGACTTCTTCTTCTTCCTCAAACTCTCCAAAGCTGCAAAAACATTGCTGTTGCTCACAGTAAACGATCCTTCCTCCCTTCTATTCCCACCTCCAACCATTCTTCTATATCTGAAAATTCAAAAACAACACCTCGAGAAAACGTAGGGAATTACTGGAATTTGATACAAAGCCGGAGCTCAATATAACAGCAATTCCCTATGATTTTCAGGGTACACAGATTTTTAGGAGTTACTAAATACTTTTTTCAGAATAAAACAACAATCAACAACAAAGAGGATTAAATTCAATCGAAACAAAGATGGGTAACTCACGATTAATCAAGAGATAAGCAAGTGTTCTCAGAAAAAAAAAATTAATCGGTACAAGTTCAGGAAAAAATTAACGATTAAATATCTGATTTTCCGATGATATTCGAGCTATCGACAGATTTGAGAATTCGATTCAACGAATGTAGGGCTAACAAGGAATTAGGGTTTCGAAAATTGAAGAGATAGAGATGCGGAGTGTGTGCTAGGGTTCCGAGTTTTGAAGATACGGTAAGCGTATCTTCTTATTATTTTTTTTTGGGTGTGTGTGTATATGAGTGTAATGTGTGTATATCCGTTACGTATAGCGTTAAAACGCTGATATGTATGTATAGAGAGAGAAAGAGAGGGTTTGAGCAATGGAGATGCTGTACTGTGGTGCAGATAGCGTGAGGGAGGAAGACGGTGATTATATACTTGCGGTTTGTGTCGAATTTCTAGTCCTCCTAGTTTCGGTTATTTTCATTTTGACCCCAAAATGTTTTTGTTTTTTTCTTCATGTAATTATTTTGTTAATCTATTACTTTTATTTATTTTTTTAGATTTTTGCTTTATTTTTAATATTTATAAAGGTTGTAAATCTAGAGTCGGTGATGATCATTACTATTTTTATTTGTTTTTACAAGGAGGTATCAAAATTGGAGATTGATGGCAAATATCAATTATGTATATTATAAATACAATTTAAAAAGTCAAAATAAAAAATAAAAAAAGGACACGTGTCGTTTTGTTAATGGGGAAGGATAGGATTTTGGATGAGAAAGGTTTTAATGACTAATTAATTTGATTTTGAAAATCACTATCCCCTTTTAAAAAAGAGAAAAGAAAATAATGTTGAAAATCTAGCCAAGAATTTGACTCTCAAAATGCAAAATCTTATTTAGAATACATACAATGCCTTTTTATTTATTCTTGTTATCAAGAAATTTTGCATGTATTTACTTTTTTGGTAAGTGTAAAAAATAGGGATGGCAATAGGGCGTGTATTGCGTAACACGGTTACGTACCCTTTTCGGGTGAATAGTCACCAAATAAATGTAAAAAAATATTTATTAATTTATTTAAAATAATTATTACAAACATTCTTACATAATACAAACACTATATGGCAATTTACATTCTTACATAATACAAACACTATATGGCAATTTACACACAAAGTTCCTGAACAAATTGCATGAATTGTGATATACAAAGAAACAATCTTACAAGTCTAGATACAAATAATATATTTTCTTCATGTATCTATCTCATTAAGCCACAAAGAATAGGAATATGGTAAGAAAGAAAATCAATACGAAGAATATTTTGATCATCAGCCATCGATTCGAAGAGATGCTATTTAGATACTTGAGCAAAGCTCCCTGAGCTCCCTCGACATTTGCCAGCGTGTCCTCCATGTTCTCGTCAATCCTATAAAAGAAAATACAAAATAAAAAATAAAAAATAAATCATCAATGTTCGTAATCATTGTAAGAAGAAATGACTGAGTAATTATGTAAATTAGGTGTCACTGATCCATGGGGATTAACAAAATAAAATAATTTATTCATTTTTCGAACATGGTACTAATGTAAATCAATCCAGGCAAATCCGTGCTTACGTAAATTGAAATGAAACCAGCAGAGCGTTGTGTTTATCCTTTATGCAGGAACAACAAGAAGAATTACCGTACGACAAAGAATTGTTGAATTTATTATTTATGCGCAGTCTCAGTTAATTGTTTGATGTTACTTGATCATACGGCCATGTTTTTTCAGCAATACAGTGTAATAATAATAATAATAATAATAATAAGGGCAAATTACAACCACCCCCGAGGTATGGCCAAATTACAAAAAAACCCCTCTTGTTTGGGTAATTACAGCCACCCCTCCTTTTAAATATTTTTACATAAAATTTATGTAATTCGGTTATTTACCGAACCAAATCGTATATTCAGTTCGGTAAACGGTATGAAATGTTGGCGTACCGAAATTTTGATTTGGTTTTACCGATTTAACATCCCTAAATTTACCTCTGGAGGGGTATTTTCGTAAGATAATACATAGTTGAGGGGGTGGCTGTAATTATCCAAACATGAGGAATTTTTTCGTAATTTGACCATACCCCAGGGGGTTGGTTGTAATTTACCTAAAAATAATAAGAGTATAAAAGGAGCATTATGCAGACCTGATAGCAATCTCGCCGTGCTCGGAGACAATGGTAGCGAGCTGATTGAAGATATTGCCCAGCTCTTGAATTGTCGATTCCACGTTTTGAAGAGCCTCGGCTCTACTCTGCATGTAGCTGTCCTGTAACGGAACCATTTCCTGTTGCTGCTGGTTTTGTTGCTGCTGCAGTAATGGCTGAGACTCCCCTTCCGCCTGGTTCCTGTTATACGAATCGAAAGAAAAATAAGTTATTATAGCAAATGAGAATCTTTTTATATTTGGGAAAATTATTTCATACTGTTTTGTACTATTAGTATTACATGATATACTATACCAGAACGCGTATTCAGGTCTTTTTCAGAAACTATTTACGCACTAAACCATCTGAACAATTATGGATAACTTTCTTTGAGGTATTTACGTTAAGGTTTTTTTTTTTTTTTTTTTGCCGGGGTGGGGGTGAGTTAACAATTAAGTAGAAACATTTATTTACGATCTTACCTAGGGAACATTTGTGATGAAGATTGTCCCTCATTAGCCCATGGAAGAGGAGGAGCCGCCGAAGTACTGGCGGCAGACTTGCCAGCCAAAGGACGCTGACGAATAAAAGGATTTGTAGGATTCTTGGAAACGGAAGAGGAAAACATTTGTCGCCTGTTTTCATGAACCTTCAAATTCTGTTAAAAAATAAAACAGAAATGCATTTTATGTCAGTGGATAGTAGTTTGTACAGATATATCAAAATCGATGGATTTTTGGACAAAATGAAAAATAAAGAATCCGGGTTCACCTCTGTTCGCAAGGTCAAAACATCCTTGAACTCTTTTGTTGTGCTCATCAAACGATTCTTCAGATCATCAACAACCGTGGTAGAATGGCTGGTGTTGTCGGAGGATACGGGCCCACTTTCGTTTCGGGAATTTGAGAGAAACTGGAGATCAACCACTGCAGAATTGAGAGCTGTTATATCTTGCTTGATAACTGCAGTTAGCTCCTGAATTTCCATGGTAGGGTCGTCGAAAACTGACGTCCTCTTTGCCACTGCACGAGAACGCAATATGTTACCAATTCGATCATGACACAATAAAATGGATAAATACAATCTTAACATAAAATGTAAGCCCGCAAACACTTAATTGATCTCGTCCAAACACACAACAACACAACCACGTTACCAGTGCAAAGACTTTTCCAACGGGATAAGATGAAATTTACGTGTTTGCTCGATTAATATACAATCTCTATATTATTTATAGATCCTGAATAGTGAAGGTTTTAAACTTCTGATCATTCAATGAGGACTCGGTTCAGGTCAGGGTCAAACCCGATCTTCGAAGACTAACCACCACTTAGTGCGTGTTTCATATACATATCCACTCAACCTTTAACCAATGGCTACACGTAGCAAATACAAGTGAAATAAAAATATCAAACAGAACAAAATGCACTTCAATCCTATCCGACAATCAAATTAGTCAACATTATTTGAATTTAAGATACATAAAAACCATAAATAAAAATACATAGCGCAAAAATTATAATAATAAGCATGAATATAAATCAAATTCGATTTTATATCTTGCAGAAACATAACAACGCTAACGAACATCAGGAACATAATTCTAAAATCCCCCAAGAATTATACACATAAACAACTGCCACAATCCCAAACAGCAAATTAAACATAAAACTCATAATTCAAACTATATTAGAAACACAACAAATCGTCGCCTTAGGACAAATATAGATAAGAGGCATAAATTTCAACCAATAATTCCGTAGATGCTAAACACGATCAAATATGCATTGAGCAACAATTCTTCCCAAGAGTCTGGTTTGTCCAAATTCTAACACCCGATGCTCTGCGATTGAATTGCGATTAGAAATTGAGTCTCGGAAAGGACACAATCATAAGCATACACACGGAATAGAATGATTATGCATACACTACACACACTGTAAGATATAAAACCCGAGTAATTGTTCCTCAAATCACGCTATAATGTTACCCAAATATCACTCTCGAAATCTCCATACCAGCATACATTAACAAGGATATAATCGAAAAAAAAACTACAACCTAAAATTACCATAAATCCAAAATATTTACGCACATTTTGCCAGCTTAGCTAGCTTCTGGGATGTCTGGTGAATCCCAAACCCAATTTTCGACGCCCTCCGGTTGAACTCCGATTGCATCGCAACTGCCGACCGCGGCGGCTCCTCCGGCTTCGACCCGCTGCTGCTCGGTCCATTCTGAGAGGAGAATGACTTTTTTACCCTCTCTGTTATGCCCGCGAACTCATGCGTCCGATCCCTGATCGATGAATTCCCACTCTTCACCGGCATTGTCGCAGATGAAATTTCCAACACCCTCTAAATATCGTAAATGCTTACACCGGATTTTATAGATCGGAGGCGAAGAATCTGGTGAAATTTTGCCCGGTCATAAACCCTAATACTGAAATTTCTTTTGAAATCGAATTGAATTATGAAACCCTCGATCTGCGAAATGGGGATTGAAATTCAACGAAATATTGATTTGAGGAAAATTTCATATGCATATATATGTGTTCTGGTCTTTCAAATTTCCGATAAATTATTGAGAACTGTTTGTAAAATGAAATAATTGGGGGAATTTATTTAATACTCCTGTGGTTTTAAATTCATATTTTTTTTTAAAATATAGTTGTGTAATAAAACGGTTTTATAGATGCTAAAGTAATTTTAAATCTTTGTTAAAATAAAATTTAAAAAAAACAAACATTTTTTTTACTTTCAATTGTGAATAAATTTTTAGTTTTTCTTCGGAATGAAAAAATATTGTTCTAAAATCAAAAAAATTCAATCAAAATTGATGAAAATCGAAAATTACGTTACGGTTTTGTCAACTAGTGAAGTGGTCATAAATCGTAATCTACACCTGGTCGACACACGTTCTACAATGGCCGGGATATGGACAAAGGGTGGCGATCCCGCGAGGGTCAGCTAACCCCCAAAATCCGTCATCGGTCAGCAACTCACCTGCGTTAAGGTGAAATCGCTAGTAATCATCGATCAACCATACATCGCTCAAAATCGTTACCTTAACGGCAAGAAGTTAAGGGAGATGCCGAAGGCTGGGCTAGTGACTGGAGTGAAGTCGTAACAAGGTAGCCGTACATACCAAAACTAGCTCAAATTTTCTTCTCAAGTTATATTAAATGCATACAAACTTGGTACTAATTACTCCCATGTTTCTTTAACATTCAAACTTGAATAATTTAGTTGAATACACTACTATTCTTGATACTCTGCCATATGCAAATAAGTACAATATTCAATAATAAAATGTTCTTACAAGCATACAAGTTATTAATAAAAAAAGGTAGACATAATAATATTAATTTAATAATTTTGTCTAATAAGATAAAAACTAAGATACATAAATAAATAATCTAAAACTCACAATTAGAGATGAGATAACCCTCACAAGCAAACCATTAGCATCATCATCCATCTAACCACACAAGGCTGTTTTTATGAACATAAGAGTCAATGCGGTAACAAATCATTCGCAAATCGAGAATCTCGACTTCTTGCTTACCAACATCGTAGACTAAGTTGCCGGAAATTCTTAAAAAAAAAAAAAATAAAAAAAAAATAGTACCTCTGAATTTCCTTCTTTAATTGGCATCAAAGTTGGAACAATATTTGAATGAGAATCCGTCATGAAAGACTTTTATTTAACTTTATGCGGAAAACTTTAATCACAGAATCTTGAAATCAAATTCATCTTAAGAATATAATCACGTAATAGAGATTATCGACATACCGTTCGCCATGGGTTCCGATAGAGACGATGAACGATAGCAATCTACAAGCCGAGCCTAGCCAGGCCTCCTTCGAATCTCCTTGAGAACTTTATTCGTAGCACACCTTCTTCTCTCTATCTCTCTTATATCACAACTCACAAAGTATTCTGTAAGTGATGGAATTCTCAATTGCGTCTGATGGTTGAGGAGAAGAGCTGTGGATTTCTTTTATAGACGAGAGAAGAGGGCCACGATTGATTTGTAACGGCAGAAGACAAATCCCACCCATCATGGTCTTTTACTGCCTTCAACGTTACAAATCAATTACCATAAAATCACCTTAATACCATGATTTGAATTACCCACAATTTAATTAATTAAAATAAAGATTAGTGGACCAAAATTAAAAACGTTTTAAAACGTAAACTAACATTCTCCCACTTGGTCCACTGAATCGATTAAGAAAAAATAAGTTTAAAAAATATTTGACTCGGTGGGTTTTTCATACAAAACATTTGACACGTGATCACGATTTTAAAAGAAAATTAAGGTGATTACCATAATAGGTAAATAGAGTACTTTAATACTAGAACTAGTTTGAGTTATTAATGTGAATCATAGCGGTTATATGATTCATTCATCATATTCCCTTCTATGTATCACGCCACTAATAACCCTTACTATTCTAATCCATAATAGCCCCTTTAATTTTGTCTTGTTAGGACAAACCCTGTTAAATCCAAATATAATATGTGCACACATAATTGGAAACAGGAAAACAGAAACATTTCATTAAATAAATTAAGTGTCAATTACATAATCATAACTCATTAAATCATGGATTGCTCAAAAGACCCATTCTAATAACATGTTCCTCATATGTCTTTATAGGCAATCCCTTGGTTAATGGATCAGCAACCATAAGAGTTGTACTTAAATTTTCTATTGACACTTGTTGTTTCTGGACTCTTTCTTTAACAACCAAGTACTTAAGATCCATGTGCTTGGATCCACTTGAATACTTTCCATTCTTAGAGAAGAAAACGGCTGCGGTGTTATCACAATATATCTTCAAAGGCTTAGCAATTGAGTCAACAGCCTTAAGCCCTAAGATAAAATTTCGCAACCACAGTGCATGACTCGAGGCCTCAAAACATGCTACAAACTCAGCCTCCATTGTGGAAGAAGCAATAATACTTTGCTTTACGCTCTTCCAAGAGATTGCTCCACCAGCTAGTAGAAATACAAAGCCCGATGTGGACTTTCTACTATCTACACAACCAGCAAAATCGGAGTCTGAATAACCAATAACCTCTAGTTGGTCCAATCTCCTATAAGTAAGCATGTAATCCTTTGTTCCTTGAAGATACCTCATAACCTTCTTTGCTGCTTTCCAATGATCTATTCCCGGATTACTTTGATATCTACCAAGTACTCCCACTGCATAACTAATATCTGGTCTAGTACACGTCTGTGCATACATCAAACTTCCAACTGCTGATGCATATGGAATCAATTTCATTTTCTCATTTTCCAAATCATTCTTTGGACACTGTTTTTCACTTAATTTATCACCTTTCGTGATAGGAGCATTAATGGCTGAACAAAACTGCATATTAAATCTTTCAAGAACTCGATTGATATATCCTTTCTGAGACAAGCCTAACAATCCTCGAGATCGATCTCTAAAGATCTCTATCCCAATAACATAATTTGCCTCACCCATATCAACCATCTTAAAATTCTTGGAAAGATAATTCTTAGTTTCGTGAAGCAAACCAAGATCACTACTTGCTAGTAAAATATCATCCACATACAAGACTAAAAAGATAAACTTGTTCCCACTGACCTTTAGATATATACACTGATCAACAGTGTTTTCCTTAAATCCAAAGGAAGTAATGGTATCATTGAATTTTATATACCATTGTCTAGAAGCTTGTTTAAGTCCATATATGGATTTCTTTAATTTACAAGCCAAGTGTTCCTTTCCTTGTTTTGCAAATCCTTCAGGCTGGTCCATATAGATATCTTCATCTAAATCCCCATTCAGAAAAGCGGTTTTCACGTCCATTTGGTGTAACTCCAAATCATAATGAGCTACAAGAGCCATAACGATTCTAAGAGAGTCTTTCTTAGATACTGGAGAGAAAGTTTCTCTATAATCAATGCCTTCTTTTTGAGTGAAACCTTTGGCCACTAATCTGGCTTTAAATCTTTCGATATTGCCCTTAGAGTCACGTTTGGTCTTAAAGACCCATCTACAACCGACTTTCTTACTGTTCTTAGGCAATTCGACAAGTTCCCAGACACCGTTATAGTCCATTGATTTCAACTCTTCATTCATAGCATCAATCCATTTATTAGAATCTTTACTTTTCATGGCTTGTGAATATGAAACTGGATCATTTTGAATACCAATATCAAAATCAGATTCTTGTAGATACACCACATAATCATCGGATATGGCAGACTTCCTTTCCCTTTGAGATTTCCTCAAAGCTACTGGCTGTGGTGGTTCTACAGTATTGCCAATAATAACATGAAGTGGTGAATGGAGTGGCGAATCATTTGTTTCATCAACCTGCTGTATAGGCTGAAGAGTAACGTTATCTTGAGGGAAATAAGATGGTAAAATATCCACCCTAATTTCCTCAAGTTCTACCTTTCTTGATTCAAGACTCCCACTAACTTCACCATTCTCTAAGAATTTGGCGTTTCCAGTTTCAACTATCCTCGTAGTATGGTTAGGACAATAAAATCTGTACCCTTTTGACTTTAGTGGATAACCAATAAAATATCCAGAAATTGTTCTAGGGTCCAATTTCTTTTCATTTGGATTGTATATTCTAGCCTCTGCTGGACAACCCCAAACATGTAAATGTCTTAAACTAGGTTTCCTACCAGTCCACAACTCGTAAGGAGTTGTTGGGACTGCCTTACTGGGAACCCGGTTTAAGATATACATAGCGGTTTTCAAGGCTTCATTCCAAAATGAAATGGGTACAGTTGAATTACTTAACATACTCCTAACCATATCCATGAGAGTACGATTACGACGTTCAGCAACTCCATTCTGCTGTGGTGTTCCAGGCATTGTGTATTGAGCACAAATACCACGCTTTTCTAAGAATTTAGCAAATGGGCCAGGATTTTGTCCCGACTCATCATATCTACCATAGTATTCCCCACCCCGATCTGATCGTATAACTTTAATTTTTCTATCTAATTGTCTTTCGACTTCCGTAACAAACACCTCAAGCATATCAACGGCTTGAGATTTTTCATGAATTAGATAGAGATAACCATAACGAGATAGATCATCAATAAAGGTGATAAAATACTTTTCTCCACTAAAACATGGAATAGGTAGCGAGCAGATATCTGTATGGATTAACTCAAGAAGCTCTTTACTTCTTGTGGCACCCCTTTTATTGTGTTTGGTTTGCTTACCCTTAATGCAATCAACACACATTTGAAAATCAGTAAAGTCTAGATTTTCCAAAATTCCAGTTTTTACCAATCTTTCGATTCTTTCCTTGGAGATATGCCCCAATCGTTTATGCCACAAGATAGAAGAATTTTCGTTATTTAGGCTTCGCTTTACGCCAACTTCCGAATGAGTGGTTAATAATGATTGTTCAAACTCATGATTCAAAGATATTTTATATAAACTATCACATAAAATACCGGAACCAATTATTATTGAATTAAACATAAAACTGAGTTTTCCACAACCAATTAAAGCTCATTCAAATTCCACTTATCTTTTTGAGTATTATAGTGGATTTTGAATGGGCCGAACTTTGATGGAAGTGAGTTAAGGATAATTGTA